GTTTAAAGGATGTGTTCAGTAATAAGCGTTCAGTGACCCGTTGAGAAGGTGCATCAGGTTCAGCTGACTCCAGATCTTTCTCTCTTTGTGTGTTTGATGGATTGAGGTTGAACTTGCTGACTTATTAAGGGCAGATTTTGACTCTGAATCTCGTGGTACTCTGAAAGTTCTTGGTACTTATTGCCATGATTGTTTTAAATACAATATTGCCAATGCAACAGACTCTCCCAAAAAATAACAAAACACTGAAGAATGTTAAGAATACTTTCTTATTCTGTTGTTATAGTACATACTACCAATTGTATAATGTGTAAAGTATTTTTTAATGAATTGTATATTCATTTATGTTTTATAGTATTTTAAAATATTTTAATTTATTATAGTTTATGGATGCATTCATTTATTTTCGTCTGAAAGATGAAAGTCATATACACCTAGGATGCCTCGGGGGAGAGTAAAACACAGCCTAATTTTCAGTTTTGGGTGAACTAACCCTTTAACATATTTTATAGGAAATGAACAGTTCTGAAAGGGCTGTAATTGTTTGCGTGATCACTTTGCTTATAGAAGGTTGTGATAGACCCAAATCATCACTGCTGCATAGTTGCATTATTTACATATTTACAAATATATTTACTTCCATTTCTGGCGGTATGGCATTTCTGCGCGGTGTCGGAGATGTTAGCGTGTCTCTAATAAGATCGGCCACAAACACGATCTAATGTGTAGCGTCTTATTAACTCACTGTCATGCATTGTGTGCAGCACATTTCTTCTGCCTCTTCATGTTTCGTCCATTTTCTCCACTGCTAAAGAAACTCTTAAGCCTCTTAAAAGTCCTCATCCGTACTCCTAACAATTTTGGACCTTAAGACCTCTTTTAAGGGTTAAGATGCGTTCTGAATTACTTTTTTCTTTACTAGGATCTTTTCTTTAATTTTAGGAGGAAACACCCACATTTCTAAGAATTTTCTTAGAATGTTGTTACTAGGAGCAACTCTTAGCACTAAGATCTTTAATGAATACGGGCCCTGGTATTGACTGACTCCTAGTTGAGGCTTCCAAGCTGTCTTTTATTTCCTGAAGCAAATTAAAAGTAACATGATTTGGTAAACAATATGTTCGCATAATGTGTTCTTCTGGCATTCAAAATAAATTAATATGTAAATTAATAAATTCTCTCCCTTCTACCACGTACTCTGTTCTCTGTGGTGCCTCTCCTAGCAACAATAATTGCAGCCAAAATAGTTTAAAGGTGACATATCATGAAAATCAGACTTCTCCAGGTTTTAAGTGCTATAATCAGGTCCCCGGTGCATCTACCAACCAAGAAAACGTGAAAAAGATGAACCCAGTAACTTTGTTTTGGTAAGCCTTTTTCTGCAAGCGTCTGAGAAAACCAGTGCGTCTGATTTCGCTCCCTTGGTGACGTGGCAAAGAGATCTCATTATAATATTACCACCCCTTAATCTGTACGTTTGCAACCACGGCTCCATCATTTTGATTCTGCAAGCGACAGCGGTGTAGCAGCTCTAATGCCATGCAGAAAGTTTGAGCAAAACATGCTAACTGTTCTGTGTTTGTCTGCAGAGACGAGCACTGAACACTAGAGTCCCAGCCTTCTGAGAAAACCAGTGCGTCTGATTTCGCTCGCTTGGTGACGTGGCAAAAGGATCTCATTATAATATTACCACCCCTTAATCTGTACGTTTGCAACCACGGCGCCGTCATTTTGATTCTGCAAGCGACAGCGGTGTAGCAGCTCTAATGCTACATATTGTAAAAATGGGCATAATATGTCTCCTTTAAGACATGCTTTATTTGGGCGTAAAATAATGGCACAAATACCAGTAATCTGACAAGCGCAAATGTTAGTAAATTGCGCTGAGTGATTAATTTGAATGCTCTCCTCCCATAATTTTTGCATCTGAAGGAAAACTCCTACAAATGCATATTCAATAAGATCAGGTGCAAAAATAACGCCTTTTCAGCGCTAATTCACCACTGCGCGTCTTTAGTAAATCTGGACTGTACTATTTTAACGCCGAAAGACGAGTTGTGCTGGCGGTTAGTAAAACTGGCCCTATGAGTAGTAATTTAAGTTAAGCTTAAGTTTTCAAATTATTTTATTTGATCATAATTCATGAATGTATGCATTTAAAAGTACGTTATATAAATGTATACTGTTTCTACAATATACAATAAAATAAAACGGAATAAACCAAGCATTCAGTGAGAACAGTAAGAATACTGTGTTTTCTAGTCTCTCTCGTGCAGTTGTTACTGTAGTTGTTGTGGTGGTGTTTTGGTTATAAATATTGCCTCCGGCTGCAATTAGCGTCGCTTCAGACACATAGCTGCACACAAATACACACCATAATCATAGCTTTGTACTTCTCAGGGGCTTTGTTGTTGCTGCATGTTTGTTTGGATTTATTTTTGTGTCTGTATTTCGGTCCGTGCCGTCACAAGTCCTGTTTTGAAGGGTTTTAGTTAACATCCAGCTTGATGTGGGTCATGTGACCTCGCGGACCCTTTACGAATCAACAGAAACACAAACCCGGATCCGCCAGCTTTCTGTGTTTGTTTCTCTCTTCACGACAGCGGACAGTGGAATTAATCTACCTGTGATCCAAGAGCAACTGATTAATGATGTGTTTGTATCTGAATCTGTTCAGAAGTTTGTGGTCAATAAGAAATTAATACCTTTATCAAGGATGCATTAAATTGCTCAAAAGTGACAGTAAAGACATTTATAATGTTACAGTAGATTTCTATTTCTAATAAAAGCTGTTCTTTTGAACTTTCTGTTCATCTGTGAATCCTGAAAAATAAAATGCATCACAGTTTCCACAGAAATATTGAACTGTTTTCAACATTGATAATAATCAGAAATATTTCTTGAGCAGACTGGAGTAATGATGCTGAAAATACAGCTTTGATCGCAGAAATAAATTACATTTGAACAGATATTCACATAGAAGACAGTTATTTTAGATTCTAAAAATATATCAGTATTTTTACTGTATTATAGATCAAATAAATGCAGCCGTGATGAGCAGAAGAGACTTCAAACCCTAATCCAGACCAGCGATCAACCAACTACTGTGTTTCAAAACATCTTGAGTAGTTTTAGTTATTGTGAGCCGCAGGGCTTTAAAGCAGCTGGTTGATCAGTTAATAACCTTTTAGAAACCAGCCACAGTCTTCCAGACATCAGCCTCCACCTTAAGCTGGTTTGAGCTGGACTTTTCAGCAGGGCAGGGAATTCTGGGAAAACACTTCCTGTCTCCCGTATGGAATGCTGACAGAGCAACATGCACACACACACACACGCGCACACACATGCACACACACTCTCACACACACACACACACACACACTCTCACTCTCACATGCACACACACTCACTCGCGCACACACACACACACACAGTCCACAGTGTTGGCAAGTTTATCAGGTGTCATTAAAGCACCTGCGCTGAAACAAAGAGGTTTGAATGGAAGTGTGTGTGTGTGTGTGTGTGTGTGTGTGTGTGTGTGTGTGTGTGTGTGAGAGAGAGAGAGAGAGAGGAAAAAAAATATCTGCACACAAAAAAAGACAAAAAAGATAACTCACCTTTCATCTTCTCACTGTAAATGAGAGCTCAGAATATAACAAAGAGATGTGAATGGAAGTGTGTGTGTGTGTGTGTGTGTGTGTGTGTGTGTGTGTGTGTGTGTGTGAGAGAGAGAGAGAGAGGAACAAAAAAATCTTCGTACTGAAGAAGACTAATAGGATAACTGACCTTTGACCTTTAGCCTTTTGGGTGTGTGGAAATTTATAGCTCTAGAGGTCAATCATCTAAATAAAACCTCAGCGAAAGATGCGAAATCAGCAGAACAATGTGTACACGCACATTCACTTTTTATTACGGTATAATTATAGAAATTATATTTGTTGTTTAAATATAAATGTAAATACATTTTTAAATCATATGATATTTTTTATTTATAATATGCATATAATATTTTGTATTATTTTATTAATAAAAAAATGTCAATAATTAATAACTTAAAATAAATTAATAACACAAACACGTGTGTATGTATATATCTATATAAGAATATAATGTAATTTAAATAAATAAACATAATTATGTGATGTAATTTAAATATATTATTAATATTGTATTTAAATTGCATTAAATTAATAATTTTTTTGTATTTAAATTACATATATGAAATAATTAAAATACATATTTAATCTAATTCATTTATTTTATTTATTAACAAAATATTTTAATTTTTTAAAATGCATTACAATATATTCATACTTAAATGTTTTAAATAGTATGTATGTATATATATATATATTTATTTATTTATTTAAATTATATAATTAAATATCATTTAATTTAAATTATTTATATACAGTGATTATATAAAATATATATATCAGTGCTGTCAAACGATTAATCACATCCAAAATAAGTTTTTGTGTACATAATATATGTATGTGTACTGTGTATATTTATTATATATAGAGTATATATTTTTTCAATATTTTCATGTATATACATTTATATATATATATATATATTCTTATATTATACATAAACATATTTAATATATAAACATAACATATTTTTCTGAAATACACACACATAGAGTATATATATTTTCAATATTTTCATGTATATACATTTATATATATATATATATTCTTATATTATACATAAACATATTTAATATATAAACATAACATATTTTTCTGAAATATATACATGCATGTGTTGTATTTAAATATACACAGTACACATACATATATTATGTACACAAAAACTTATTTTGGATGTGATTAATCGTTTGACAGCACTGATATATATATATGATTATATAGGGAAGTGTGTGTGAGATCCTATATTAGTTTATGATCTTTCAGTAATGACAGTGCGTGTATTTGTGTTTAGCATGGTATTGTAGTGTGCATGGGTTTATAGTGTGCTCTCTCTGTCTGTAG